CATAGCGAGCCACAATTTTGTATTCAGGATTATTCCTATTCGATGTACTATATATGATAGAGCACTGGTAAAGCCCGTCTTGTTTCTCTGGCATTTTTACACATGGTATTAGAAACTTATCAATACATTTTGGCAGTAAAAGTGAAACCGGCTTGAATTATTCATAGCCAGCAAAAATGCACTTTGAAAAACCCAGGTGTAGGGAAAGCATAAAAACCAGGAAATAGCAACCAGGTATGCTTTAGTGTTCAAAGTTAGGCAAATGGCAATCTAAGGACTGTTTTTCTTGGGATACTTGGTATACTTCCCAACCTCATGTTCTGCTTACTTTACAAACTTGCATCTGAAAATGCATACGAGCATCATGAGGAAGAATTGTTGTCAAAAGGCCCCACTTCAGCAAGAAACAAAGATATGCTTCCCTTCCCTAATAAGACGTTCTTATTAGTGTTCATGAGTGAATCCTGAGGCAGACCAACAAGATGTGGCATAGAAAATATGGGGATTTTCTACATTTTAAATGTCTTATCTTTGGTTATTGATCCAAAGCCTATTCACGAATTGGTCAGCAAGCTGCTTTCTTTGTTTGTTTTAATTTTGAAGCACGCATGTTATCTCTGTTTTCTTACTGAACCAGTTATACATTTAAATACTCATCAAACACATTTTAGCTATTTTTTCCTTGACTCTCAGTCAAAAAGACCATCATTTTCCTCATATACTGTATGGTGTACATTATAAATGCTGCAGTATGGAAGTTGTAAGACCATACCGAGTGGTTAAAAGGCAATCATAGTCGACTCTTGCAGACATTGTTTTGTATTCTTTAACCAAGTTGCAGAATGATGATGTTCAATGCTACCATTTTTAATAATTACTAAGGTGTTTTTTTTTTTGGTTTGGAGATATATAAAATATAATACACAGAGGCCTGTGCCTTAGAATTCTAAGCAAAACACTTAGACATATGGAATCGTCTGTCTGAGGAGCAGGTCAGGAAGAAAGTCTTATGTCCCCTTAAAGATTAATTATTTGTGGGCTACAAAACCACAAAAATTAAAAATTAGTATTTAGAGTGACACAAGTCTTTGGGATACTGTCAGAAAGTTCTTTTTTTTCCTCCTTCCTTTTGCTTCTTTGTCCATCCCCACCCAACTCTGAGGCTTCTTTTCTTTGAAAAGAGAGAAAATGGCTGGTTTTTCCCGATGCAGTTCTTTGAAGCCAGCATAAACGAGTGGCCAAGAAGTCTCCTTCATGCTGGAAGGGAAGATCTGCTGCCTAGCAGACACTCCATTGGTTCACAAGAAAACCCAGTGAGGCTGATGAGCTCCTTAGGTTCAGCCAATGCAATTTCTCGTGTTCACATTCTTTAAAGCATAAGAAGATCAAAACATTTTGCAGTTTAAAGGATCCAATAATAAGAACCGGGCTCTTAGGATACACGCTTAACCTCAAGCTTCCTCCAAGGTCAGTTATCTCCCTTCCAGTGGACACCAGCGTGAAGAAAACCACTTTCAGCTGGTGCCTGGCCTGTCGAGCTGTGAACTTTTCCTTGTATACTGCGTGCTTTTTATTGCCAAGGTTCGTACTTGAAAATACTGCCCTTAGGACTTGAGTGATTATTACATTCAGGTTGTCAAAAGCCACAATTTTTCAATACTGAACCACTCTGAAATTAGGAAAAAGAAGAAACAGTATGCATTATTTTAGAGGAGAACAATGTCACCATAAAGAAAGGGGAATTTTGTAATGTCAACTTTACAAAGTTTCACAGCCCAGTCTGAAAGTTCCACTCATACTTAAGAGGTCTCTCCCTTTTCCTTGTGCATAGGAAAAAAGGTAGAAAGTATTTTGTTTCACTGAAGTTATCATCATTATCATGAGTGTCATCATGCCACTTTTAAAATTGCTTTGGCAAGCGAGCTCTTTGAAGGGATGCATTTTATTTCCATTTCATATCCATGAACATACTTTCACATGAAGACATCATGCAGTGCACAGCCTGATGTTTTACTTCCTGAAGATGTCAAGATATGTTTTTAATTGCTGACAGCAGTTTTCCCAGCATAGATATTTAATCTGAAGAACAATAAATAGGAGTGTGTATAGCACAGAAAATGAGAAAACAAAACCTTCACTGCTGTATTTAGTAAGGGGGTCAAGAGGAGGTTTATTAGATAGCAATTTTAGAAATAAATGTAGGGTCAGGAATTGTCCCAATTTTCATCTGTAAAATGTTAGAATGTATGACAGTCTGTTGAACCTGCTATTATATATTAATATAAAGGTGGAATCCCATTTATTTCAGGGAATTTGCATGTTTAGCTAGGTGCAGAATTGTACCAAACAATGCCAAACTTATTTTTGGGTCTGTCTGTCCGTCCATCCATCCATCCATCCATCCATATTATTTCACTCTTCTGATAAAAATCACAAGGTGGTTTCTAACAACAATAAAATTAAATAATTCTCAGTCCTAAAATATATCAAAAAATGTATC